GGCATAACATGTTAACTATGTACATAAATAATAATAGCACGAGAGGAAAGGGTCCGTCCTATTGGCAAGTGTAAGTTGAGTAACATGTGCAGGTAAGCAGGCAACTTGTTTCAATAGAATTATGTTGTAAAAGAATCAAATTCGCAGTAGGTGTGCGGGGATGTGTGGGAAGCTTGCTAATGATCAACTCAGCTGTATGGGTTCCGAGTACCCGGGACTACATAACACTTGTTAGCTTTATGTCAGAAGACTCTCTCCTAACTGCTACCTTTTCGCTTTCATTTTTGCAGTGTTATATATATCCTTTAAATTAATGGCCTCAACTTGTGAGGTAGGCCCTTCCCTTCCCTTTCTGCGTACTCTACTGCCACTTGCATTTTGGCTTTCTGCCATTTTTGCCTCGTTCTAATTCCACTCAAAGCCTATGTACACACACACGCACTCTCTTAAACTTCACACAAATATGTTAACCGTACATGTAGGGGACCTTTTGTTTTCTTTTCTTGCATCAAATGATGTCAAGTGTAAGATATGTATATTTTTAATATGATTATCTAAATAAGTTAAATAATATTATTGGGTCTCATATCGAGAGTAACCTTTTTCTAAATACGCCTTTTTTATTCACACAAACTTGAATTTGAGATGTCTTACTTAAGAGATCATAACCTATTTTATTAAGACAAAACCTATTGATATGTTATACTCACTCCATTCCATGGTATTGAAACCCGGACCGGACCGGCCGGGTCAATCCGAAAACCGGTGACCCGGTCTCTTGTCCGGTCTGGGTTTACTCCTAAACCGGTGACAAAATAAACCGGTGTAACCCGGTCAACCCCGGTTCAACCCGGTGTAACCCGGTTAACCCGGTGGGTTGATTGGGTTAACCGGGTTATTTTTTTTGAAATTTTTTTTATTTTTTATTTTTCGGAGTGTTGAATTTAGAAATAAGATAAGATAACAAAAAGAAAGTAAAACTAAAGTCAAAAAAATAAAAAATTAGAGATAGAGCACGCTAAGTCCAATTCAGATTTTCAGACAGCATTTATTTCGGCCTTTCATCTGTGTCTCTCCTCTCTCACCCTAACCTAATCAGTGTCTCTTTTCTAGCTTAGTCTCCGTCTCTTCTTCAGGCTCCAGCTCTATCTCCATCTCTTCTCCAGCTCTATTTCTGTCTTTGCTATCTTCATCTCTTCTCCAACTTAGTCTCTGACTCTTCGTCTTTTTTCTAGCTCAATCTCCGTCTCTTCTCCAACTCTATTTCCATCTCTTCTCTAGACTTTTGAAATTGAAGAGTTGTAAGTGTAATGATAGATATTTAAAATATTATATTTTATTACTGTTAGACTTTTGAGTGGTTGAATTTAGTTGAATATTTTTATAATTAATGTCTTTTTATTTAAATTGTATTATTTTAATCATGACCGGTTTGCCACCGGTTCAACCCCCGGTTCAACCCTAATTGAACTACTAACCCGTGACCCAGTGCCATAATCGATTTAATGACCGGTCCGATTTTACGTACCTTGCTCCATTCAAAAATGTAAGTCATTTTTTTTAAAGATTGGGTGTTAAAAAATGTAAGATATTTTTAGTTTTTTAATTAAAGTGTAATCATTGTATTTTTTTTCTAAAAGTACCCATATTAAATTAATTACTTTATATTTATTTCAAGGTCCCAATTTGATAAGGATAAATATAAAAAGATAATATTAATTTAAATATAGATAATTATTTTATTAAAAATAAATTTAATTAAAAATATTTTATATTTTTAAATAGAGGGAATATTTTAATCATACTCTGGTTAAATTATGTCATCCATCCATTAAAAATATTGTAAACTAAAATGCACGTCATGCTTTTTTCACATGGCAAAGGTCTGTGCAAATACCTTTTCTTATTCTTTATATTTTAAAATAAATTATCCATATATATTCGTGTCTTAAAAATAGCCTTTAATGAAGGGTTTCGTCATCAACAATTAGTGGAATCTAAATGTAAATGGCTAGGTAATATAATTGTATGCATTATTATCACTTAACTTTTTAAATTTTTTATTTTTACATATTTCTAACTTACAAAATTATATTAACTCATTCATAAATTTAAACTAGATAAAATTCAATTAAATTTATTAATTAATTTTTTAATTTTATTATTTTTTTTATTTTTAGCTTATAAAATTATATAAATCTATTCATAAACTTGTTGAGTAAAATATATATACACTATGTAGAATTTGGTTCATAAAAATGATAGGGCCTGGTTCAATGAAAAAGAAAACTTACAAAACAAAAATTAACATTAATAAAAAAAATATTAAAAATAAGTTGTTCTATTTTAAATTTTTTATATTAAGTATGATAATCTATAAATATATGTGTATTTAATTTTAATGATATGTATTCAAAATATATTTAAATTAAATTATACTCATATTTTATATTTTAATTATGTACTTTTAAAACTATATGTTAATAAAGGGAAATTTTTATGAGTTTAAAATTTAAATTTATATTTTGAGTTTACATTTTTAATATGAATTTACTTAAACTCTCAAATTTAACAATTTGATTGTATGTTTAACAGGAAATTGGTCAATGGCCAAACTAATAAAACTTTCGGTATCTTTTGAGAAGTTTTTTTTTTTTTTTTGTGGGGTGGGGGTGGGGGAGAGAGCTTGTAGCCAACAACAGCACAAGTGTGACAAATAAAGTGGAGAATCGTTTCTCCCCCTTTTTCAATCAGCTTTTGGTCCGTACAATAAATCATCGTCTCTCGAAGGAAGAGGAAGATTAATTAACCCAAAATCCGAACATAATAAAATGGACAAATATATTTAAGTACTTTCTAAGAATATTGATTACGGTGAAGGCTCTAATAAAACTATGAAAGTTTAGAAAAAGATAATGGTCCTAAGTCGTAACTCCTAAGTAGAATTATAAATTTTTTAATACTCATTTTCCATATTTTTAGTATTTATCATTCAAATTTTCAATAGTTATCTTTAATATTTTCAATATTTAATTTTTTTCAGTAATGAGTTTAGAAGTTTTCAATACCGTCTTCCACAATTTTACTGCTGAAAAAATAAAAAAATATTTTCAATACTAAAAACTTGAAAGATAAGTATTGAAAATATACAAGATGGCCAGTGAAAAATTTAAAAATTGAGCATTGACTATTAAAGATACGTACTAAAAATTTAGAAGATGAATATTGAAAATTGGCTCTCAAAAATTTTAATTTCAATTAAGAACTATGATCTTTTTTCAAAATTTTAAAATTATAAGATTCTTAATTATCTGTAAATAATATTTTTATAGGTTACTTTGAAAGCATTACTCAAGAAGGCCATATTTAAGGCGCAAAAAAAAAAAAAATTGGCGATCTCTGCTTTTTCTTTCTTTAATTAACTTGCCTCTTTTGACTTGGCTAACGCCTTTAGTTTGACCTCATGATTTGCATAAAACTTGAAAAATGAATTGTATTATTGGTAACCTGTAAACAACAAAATAAAAATATAGAGAGCCCACCGAAAGAAAAACAATATAAATATGGAGATATAAACAGTAGAATATAAATATAAATAAATAGAGATCGGGACAAGTCATGATGAAGGTTGTTGAATTGTAAGCTTTTAATTTTTTGGTGATAATTGAGTCAGAACAGGTCATACCGCGTGGGATTGACTATTGCATGTATATCCTCTAATTTCAAAACCTATCATGAAAAGCGAGGCCAAAGAATTCGGATACTGTATTTCTCACTGCTGATTTCCCTTCCTAACATAATCATTCATGGTGGTCACGCCCAGTCTTCTTGCCATGCACCAGCCAATCAATGTGTTGCTAAGTTGCATCCTAACATTGTCTGACGTTAATACATTCTGATAAAACCAAGTTTTCATGTTTTTTTTTTTTCTTCTAAGGATGTGGGCTGATTTTTCCCCACAATACCAGCCATGTTTTGACTGCACTGGGTGTTTGAATCATGGACATGGTTTAGAACCATGGGTTATTACATAGGAATTAATACGCTGCTTATAGACTCTGAACATGAGCAGGGATAGCAATCGCTGTCAAGAAATATTTGGGAGAATCCCTTTGTCCTCTGCCCTTTTGTTGGCTCTGTTTTGGAAAAGAATGGGAAATTGAAAACCCAAACTGTGTCTCCTTTTTTCACGTTCATTTCCCCACAACGGCATTCCCAAATCCCCTAATTCTGCCTACATCACATGTGAGGAGGATTTTCAGCACAATCTTGTCATCCTGTCATTTGAGTCGATCAAAAAATACCAATACGCTGTATTCTTTCATCTCCCCTCCGTTCTCATTCAGAGTTTGAATTCAACAAGTGACTTGAATCTATACTACCAACAAATATCTTTACTATACTCCTCCAGCTCATTATATAAATTATTTTTTAAAAGCACAATCTAATTCACTTTATAAAATTATTTTGTTTTAAATTAAAATTTTAAATTACCTATAAAAAATAAGAGAGAAAAAGATAGAAAAAATAATATTATATGATTAACTTATTTTTTACTTTTTACTTGAGAGTTATATTTAAAATTTCACTTGTTTTTATTTTTTATAATTTTATTGTATCGATATTGATAAAGTTGGTAGAAATAATTTATAAATAAAATTAAAGAGAGTAATCAATATATTATATCTAACATTTGAAAATAATTGAAATTCATTTTGCTCCAAGAATTTAAAATAAATAGCTCTCACAGTCAGGGCACTTTTTATGAGTACTGTCCTTTCAAAAATTTGAGACATGTTTTCTAAATATTATATAATAAAATTTTTGACATATCATACGAGACACTCATTGAGTGTGTAGATTTGTGCAACTGATTGGGTCCAAGTCCAAAAATTCGTCTTTGCGGTGTGTGGTGGATTAAGAATTCTATAATTCAAGTGGCGCTAGTGAAATTCCTTTCCTACCTCTCTGCATGACACAATCTTCTTTTCACTTTTTGGCACTACAAATTCACCCGTCCCGCTTCACTTCTTCAACATACCAGTTTCCTCGCCTTTTCGCTCCCATTAATATCTCTCGTTCTTCCTCTTATCTTCTCTTTCATCCACCCATTCGAAAGTCTCAAAGATCTCATCTTTTCTCCACCCACTTTTTTCTGCTTCACAGAGCAGAGCACTCTGTTTCCCATTTTCCACTCCAACTCCTGCGTTGAAGCCTCGAGGTGTTCTTTCCGGTTCTTTCTCAATTACTACAAGCAAATCGTGGGATTTTAATATTTCAGATTCAAATTTTGTAAATCCATTTCATGGCTGCAATAGTGTGCCGCGGGTTGCAGTCATATAATTTCGAGTCTCAGCTCGTCGAGTCAAGAACCAGTACAACATTTAGGCTTACCTTGCCTTTATCAAAATCTCTTCCCCCTCCTAGTCCTCCTCAACCCAAGGATCTAACCTTCAAATCCAAAACCCGTTATTCTGAAGAAATCAGCGGCAAAACTGATACCGGTGGGTGGAGCTTTCTTCAAGCTCTTTCCGATGTCCGCCATGACGGCCTCAAAGAACTATCTGAGAAGGAAAGCATCTACGTCCATCCTCAAACCAAGCGCTCTTCATTGATACTGAGCGAGAGAAGTCTCCAACTTTGCACCGAGAATCTGGGAAACGAGACGGGTACTGACATTGTGGGGAAGAGCATTGACTTGCTGTGTTCATCGTCGGAGAACGGCAGTGCCGGAGATTGTCCGACAAGGGAGCAAACAAGGGCGGTGCGTCCTGTTTTGGAAGGTAAGAAAGAGAGAGCACAGAATTTCCCACCTCCTTTGACGACCATTAGGGGTTCGGAATCTCTACGCGTAAGGCCCCACCGCGAAGAAGGACGACTGGTGATCGAGGCGGTGAGGGTCACATCAAGTGCTTCGTGTTTCAAAGCGGAGAGAAGCCATGGCCGCCTTCGCCTCTGCCTTTTGAAAAATCAGAGCACAAGGTTTGACTACGAAGATGGTGACACGGACGAAACAGAGGAGATCGAAAGCGAAGTGGAGGAGGAGGAGGAGGATGACGAAGATGAAGAATATGAAGAATTAAGAGTGGAAATGTGCGAGAGGCCGATTAGGTGCAAAGAATTGTTAAGTTATTAAATTGAGAATGGGAGCCCCTCTGGGTGACTCCGTACTTCTTAAAGCTGTGTTTTGGAACTCTATTTGATAAAAATAAAAATATTTTTAATCTTTTTTTCTTGCTTGCCTTGCCGGTTCATTATACTTCCCTTTTTCCTCGATTTCCCTCTCCTGAGGTCTGAAGTATTTCCATATAAGCTATGGTTGTGATCGGCAGTTATTATCGTTATTCTTTGATTCTCTCTCTGTTCTGTTATATGTCTTTCTTGGAACACACCCACTCTCCACCCAAAAAATTAAAAAAAAAAAAAAATGCATACAACAGAGCGACTAGCTACGTTCTGCAAATATGAGAATGAATCAAAAAGTTTGGTGATTTAATTTCTTAATGGTATAATTATACCCCTTCTCGTCTCTTAATTAACTAATTCTTATAAATCAAGAAAACTAGATAAGCTAATTATCTATAATTAATATGTAAATAATTTGTGACAACTTTTTAAAAATACCCACGTCTGGATGCTTCAAAAAATAGTCTTTTTGATTTCATCCTCAACCATTTTAGAAAACCTAGGTTCATCGCTGCGGGACAATTATCACCAATAGCAACTCATCAATATTTTGAGATGCTCTTAATATATTTATTTAATATGGTTGCAAATTTTAGAACTTAAACTTCAGAATAAATTGATTCAATTCTTATAATCAAACCAAAACTAAAAGTTTATCGCCTCAAATAAAATTTTTTAAGTGAACTTTATACTTAGTAGCACCGAAATATTATCATTATTATTATTTTTAATTATATTCCTCCAAGTCCTAAAAAATTTGGAGGGTATTATCGTCACTTATCCACATTAATTCGGACTCGTGTTATAGACAGGAGAGCTCTTACCAACGGCTTTAAATATCAGAAGTGCCATTTTTTGTTTCCTAAAATAAAGAGACACGTTTGAAGACGTGCAGAATGCCTATGCCCTATTCCGCCGGGCAAAAAAATCTCGAGGATCGATGACTCGGAACATTTGCCAAAAATGAAAACATCACTGTCATTATAAAATATAAAAGGATAAAAGAACAGAAATATTTAAGGAATCGACACTAGGAGCATCACACAATTTAAAATGAAAAAAAAGTGCATGAATATCTATAAAATTAATATAATCGATACGTTTGTAATTAAATTGTTAAAAATTAATGAACTCAACCATTATATTGTGAATTTAATATTTAACAATTTGATTATAGATGCACCGATTGAATTAATTTGATCGACATTTGTGTATTTTTTTTCATTTTAAATTATTGAATGCTCTTAGTTAAAAAAATTTTGAATACTTTTTTTCCTTCACCCAACATCAAAATGCATAACGAATAAGCTAAATGTATTTCTTAATTATTTTTGTAAAACAAAAATAGCCAATGCACCTTATTTCTCAATTATTGTTGTATAACAAACAAATTTACTCCCTACCGAAAAATACCATACTTATAATAAGTTGAAAATTGGAACTTATACAATAAATTAAGACGACTAGTTAGCTAAAATGCCTACTTTCTTTGTTGAAAAATACAAGGTATTGTTTAAAAATATAAAATATTTTTAACTAAATATCACCTTCCAATAAGGTAGTTAATTATTTTTAAACTAATCTTATCTTTTCATATTTATCCTTATTTAATAGAGTGTTTCACTCTAAAATAAATATAAAATAATATATTCAATAAAGATATTTTTGAGAAAAAAGTAATGATTATACCTTGAAAGATTTAAAAAATTTTATATTTTTTAACATTTAATCCCTTAAAAAATATATTTTTTAATGAAGGAAATAATTTTTAGATAGTCTATGTACAATCTCCTTAAAAGTACACGGAGAATTTTATCCACCGCGCGCGCGCTCGCACTCGAACGTTACAGAGTGTTCCTAAACCACTCATGCGAAAATAGACAACTAAAGCCTGGATTGAAGTGCATAGTAGATTCATTGAGAGAGAGAGAGAGAGAGAGAGAGAGAGAGAGAGAGAGAGAGAGAGAGAGAGAGAGAGAGAGAGATTTCAAGAATGAGAATTGCACATTTTAGCTTCTAAGTTAAGCCCCTATTTATAAGCTCAGGGACCCCTCACCAGAAAAGGAGGACCTGATCAAACATTATTCCCTCATTATGGAGGGAATAATCTAATTGGGATCTTTGCTATTAATGTGAGGATAATTGTCCCATTAGCTGCAATATCAATCAGGATGTTGACATGATATAATCTTGATCCGAGTTAGCTTATAATGACCTAAATATTTTCCAGTAAGTGTCATAACGGGCGTAATATCCTTACATAAGATTTCATAAATTACTTTCTAAGGTTTTTTCACAACTCATTGCCAAAAAAAAATAGTGGATTAGTGATAAAAATTTCATTGCTAATCAATACAAATTTTGTCGCTAAACAAGTCAGCGACAGAATTAGTAACAGAATAAGTCCATCACTGAAAATAGTAGGACTAATTCATTCGCTAATTAATGATGAAATTGCAATTCCATCACTAATAAAAGTTTCATAAAAAATCATCATCACCATATCATTTAGTGGGCTAATAACTACCTCATTACTATGTTCATGCCATGTGTCATATATTAATTTTAAATAATTTCAAATGTGCCTTGCACCTCACACTTTCTCGAGCCTTTACGCCCAACCTTATTGCTAGTTGAGATGAAAAAAATCTTTAATATTTAATTGATAAATTAAATATATTATGTTTAACCATCTATATATATCATTAAATATATAATTTAAATATATTTATTTATTTATTTAACATTCCTTTTATTTATCAATAAACCAAATTAAATTTTTATATAATACTTATTTATATTCTATTATATTTTTTAAAAAATTATTTTTGATAGAACATTTAATATTAAAATTAAAAATATTTTATTATCACTACAATATATAATATTTTATACCTAAAAATTTTATTATTATTAAATAAAAATAATTACGTATGTTACTATGTTATCAAAAAATCAATTAAATATATAATCTAAATTATTATAATTATTATTAATATCTAAATAATTTAAAACAAAAAATTATAATTATTAAATTTTTTATCTATAGCATAATAATAAATTATTCAATAAATTATGTATAATATATATATAAAATATATAATAAAATTTAAACAATTTGTGACGGAATTATGACAGTAAGTTTTGCCATGAAAACTATCCAAAATGAGAATAACGTATCCTAAAAATTAGCAACAGGCTTTTCCATCAAAAAGTTCAATCGCTAAATTATTTATGATTGTTTAAAGATAGCATAGTGATGGAAGTTTTAGCATCTATTGCTAAATTTTGTTGGTAAAATTATTTTTGACAGAATAGCAGTTGATTTTTCACCGTTGCTAAATTCTACTAGTAAATTATCAACAGATTTGTGATTGAAAATCTTGTCACTAAATTCTATCACTAATTCATTGTTTTTTTATAGTGACTTGCTCTCAAAATCAATAAGTTGCAACCAATTAAAAACTTGAGCTCACATGCTTACTTAGCCTAAATAATAACAAGCTCATCCCAGCTTGGGTAAACTACAATGCCTGAAAGGCAATGCTTACCAACTAGGTGATATTGCAAAATAGCTCATTTTTTAGACTCGATTTACTTCATATGTGAGAAATAATTAAAATGGTTGGCTTGAATCTTGAACAGTAGTTAAGAAATAACCAATCAAATTATTGATCGCTTTTATAAAGGGAAAAATAAGCTTCTTAAACCTACTTTCAAACTTAAGTATCTATGTTTTTTTTCCCACGCATTATTCCTCATTTTATAACTAGCTTTTAGTATTAGTATCATATACTTGTTTTTAAATTTAAATTTTACTCCATCTATTTAAAAACATAGGGCATTTTTTAAGGAGTTTAATGTTAAAAAATGTAAGATATTTTTAATCTTTTAAGGTGCAATCATTGCCTTTTTTTTTAAGTTTCCCTATTGGTGAATGATTTTATATTTATTGCCAGTGTTTAATAAGATTAAATATGAAAATATAGAGTTAGTTTAAAAGTTGATAACTACTTTATTAGAAATAAAATTTGATTAAAAATGTCTTATATTTTTAAACAAATGGAGTATGTATTTAGACTTGCATTGACAATATTAACTATTATCTTAACTCGATAATATTTTATAAGAGGTTAGTAAGTAATTATATGAAAGTGAGATTGAAAGATCAGATTATACCTCAGGTAAAAAGTTTTCAATGTTTGGGAGCTATTATTTAACATAATAGGAACATTGATCAGGATGTTGTGCAAGAGATACAAGTTAGGTTGTTTAATTAGAGAAAAACTACAAGAGTTGTTTGTGATCAATTTTAAAAGTATATAATAAACCTAAAAAAAAGTTTTGTCAAACTGTTATAAGACTAATCATGTTATGTGATAGTGAATATTGGGCTTTAAAAGATAGTAAGAGCATAAAGTTAGAGCAGCAGATATGAGAATATTGAAATGAATGTGCAGGCATTAACAAAAAAATAAAGTTCAAAATGAACATGTATGGGATAGGGTGAATATGGCATTCATTGAAGGAAAAGGGTAGAAAGTCATTTGAATATATACAGAGAAGGTTGTTAGAGACACCAATAAGAAGAGTGAAATAGATACTCTTAAGCCTTCTAAAGAGGGGTAAATGAGGATAAAAGAAAACGCTTATAAAAGTATTGAACAAGACATTTTAATTAACAATATTTCTAAAAATATGATTAGCAATAAAATATAATGATGTCATATAATTCATGTAGCTAACTCCATTTACTGGACTAAGGCTTATTGTTGTTACTATAGGCTTGCCCAGATGAAAGTGAAGTGCAAGAACTTAAATATTTAATTGGATTTTGTCCATTTGTGAATAGTGTAGCATGCAACAAAGTTACAATCATTTATTTGGATAATGACAATATAATTTACTTTATAATTTTTTATTAATTAACGGGAAGCCTCACGCAATAAAAAATTCATACAATATTACTGAGGATTACTTTGATAAACTCAGCGAGGCCGAAAGGAAACCGACAAGCCTAAAGAGGACAACTTCTTAAATAATG